GACAACCTTTGAGGAGCACCTCGAAATTACACTGTATCATCATTCTGCATTGCATCCATGCCCTGTTGTGGACGTGGTAAAGTAATCTGGGACGTAATATAGGCGTTATTGTTCAGGGTAATCTCACAACGCATTAATCACGCAGCGAGTTCCTCTGGGAGGGTAGAGCTGGTTTCACCATCGTTCTTGCAATATATTAATGTAAATACAGATTTACAGTCCAGTCAGTGCTGTCAAACTCTGAGCTGCAGGCTGAAGAGTACAAAACGTACGCTGTGTACAGGCAGCGAAATCCCAGCTAATGTCTATTCTTCTCATATCTCAAGTGAACACAGGACTACTAAAGAATATAGACTGTTTTAACCTCCTGGAGCAAAGCAAAATCACTTAAATATATCTGAGCGCTCCCGTTACGCCTGTTTCATAAAGGCAAGGTTTAAGTGGTTGCCAGATGTTAAACCGTCCTGAGTTTCCAGGCTTGGGTTTTTTTTTTGGGGCGGTATATGCTTTCCCCTTTCGGCCATCCATCGGTCTGTAATGAAAGTGGTTTGACTGTCGTGAGCTCGCGAACCCCGCGGCACTACTTTTGCAGTTCCCTGGGGTAGGAAGGTGAACCCAGCCCTGGATCTGTCCTGATGGGCAGTGGGGAGGAGAAGACGGTAGAAAAAAACTCTTCGGAAAGTCTTTACAGGTCTGTGTGTTGCTCTTCCATGAAGAAAATCCATACGTCGTGGTCTAGTAGGCTCTATATGGGAATAACTGATGCCGCTAGACTTACACAACGACTTCTTAGCGCTGCTTCTGTGTTAAAACAGGCTTCTACAGTGCCTTTCTGTGTGGAAATCTTGTAGCTGGGTGTGGTGGGGAAGCCGTTCAGTGACTCATGCTGCAGGGAATTCCCTGATGAATTAGAGTATTTTTACTTCTGGACTTGCGCGCAGTTTCCTTTGACTCCGGAGGGAGTCGGTGATAAGAGCAGACTACAAAGGCCCATTCACCGCGTTAAAACGGGGTGTTTATGCTTGGCAAAGCTGAAAATCCCTCCCCACGGAGCGCAGGAGGTCGGCGGGCTTTTCGTCATTAGCCATCCCAGGAGCTCCGAGTGTCACGGTGCCGGAAAAGAAAAAAAAAATAAAAAAAAATAAAAAAAAGGCTGAAGCTGCTGGTGGCGAAGTGCACCCGGAGCAGGGATGGCTATAAATAACGGCGATCCGTCTGTAAATGTCAGGCTTCCTGACTTTTTCCCGGGTTCTCCGGCTGGCACCAGCGCCGATGGCCACCTGTCGGCGCGGCCCCCAGCCCAGGCGGAGAGCCGGAGCGAAACGAGGGGGTTTCTCGCATCCCAGGCACTGCTGTGCTCCTGCACGGCCTCTTCGGATGAGGAGGGATTCAGGGGTCCTTTTTCCAGCCCTTGGCACAGGTCCCTGGGTGAAGCCTTGGCTTTGTCGGGTCATCTGCTGCTGGCGACGGGGATGCAGGGCATTCCGCCGGGGTCTCAGCCGGGCGTTTGCCCCGCGGATGTTTTGGGTTTTTATTTCCCTTTTGCAAAAAAAAAAAAAACCCCAAAAAATTCACAAAATAAAGCAAATCCGGGATAATACGGTGACACAATTTTTTTAGCTCTCTAAAGAGATGTCTTTCTGTTCGAAACGTTGCGCTATAAATCTTAAAAACACCAAAGCGAAGGTTTGGAGAAGGCGCTTCTTATTACTCGGTGAAAGTAAATAACGAAATGAAAGGGGAATGAAATGCAACCTTTGGAAAAGCCGTTTTCTCCCTTTTCCTCCCTGCCTCCTCCTCTCCTTCCTCTCCTGCCTCCATCACCCCCCCCCCCCTCCTCCCCTTATAACAACCACC